AGAACGAAATTCCAGCCTCAAAAATCACGCAGATCTGCCCAACCCTTGCTTTGCCAGGGTGGGAAGAAGGTGAGAAAAGGATTGAGTGTAATTATTCCTCAGGAGATCTCATGTGGGACCATCTGAGCTCTCCTGAGGGCATCAAAAGAACCTGCGTTGGTCACTCCATGGTCACCACACACTCACACAGCCATGGGACACTTGGCAGGAAATCTGTGCCCTGCACCCATGAGGGGAACAGCCCTGAAGGGCACCCAGGCCAGGCTGCAATTTGGGATGGATGGAGTTTAGCCCTGCCTTTGACACATTTCATGTCCCTCTCACTCCCCTTTCCCCCTCTCCAGGCGAGGACAATAATTCTGACATCCTTTAGGCAATCCACGGGGTGGATAATGTGAGGAGGGTGTAAAATCACCCCTGAAATGTGGATGGGGAGCTGTGGGCTGAGCTCCTGCCCTTGSAAAGAGCTGGTCCAACACCTGCCCTCCCAGCCCTGCCAAAAATCAGGCTGTGCATGTGTCTGTGTGCMACGGGGACAAAGGAGCAGGCAGCAAGCCCAAGGTTATCCCAGATGATACGAATCTCACCTCTACAGGGTTCACCTGAAATGGCTCATTAAAGGGCTGGGCTTGCTCAGAGGTTGGCTTAAAGCCTGTAGGGATGGGTTTGTGGCCCATCCACCCTCCTGCCCAAGCAGCTGGGGTTTTTTCAAGCTGTGCTTCCTGCAGGGAACTCTTGGGATGTGCAAAGGGAGATTTCKCCTTCCTCTCGTGACTGGGTGTCACAGCAGCATTTGAAGAACCAGAGGAAGATGCTGATGGTGGTCAGAGGGGAAGGACTGAGGAAGAATTTGCCTGATGTCCCCCAGCAGTGGTGGCAAATCCTGCTGGGGCTGTCCCTCGGYAGAACAAGTGTTGTGATGCCTGAGGTGACAGCGATGGAGCAGATGTGTCCCTGTGGAGCAGACTGGCCTCTGACTGTTCAGTGCAGGGCCTGGCTTTGCTCTGATAGCCCAGAGGCTGCACAGAGAGTGACAGCTGTCACTGTCACTGTCACAGCTYGTGCTCACGTGTGAGCTGCCGTGGTGGCATCCCCGTAAGCCGGGGCTTGGCGAGTGCTCTGCCTCTGATCCGGAATCTGCTGAGGCTCCAGCTGCAGCCCTGGTAAGAGCCTTCAATCCYTTGAGCTCCTCTGTGGTTTGTAATTAGCTCAGTCCTGGGGAGGCCGTGTGTGCTGGCGTGGAGCCTGGTTGCTGTTTACACATGGGACAAAATCCTGGGATTCAGGAGAGGGAGCAGGACCATGAGGATAAACCCATGGCCCACCCCGAGCTCAGGAAATCCTCCAGAATTTTCTGTTTCATCCATTGAGAAGCACTGGAGAAATCCTCCTTTTCCTTCCTGCCCACTGTCCACCGGTGAGAGGGGCRGGAGGGCTGATGGAGCAGGACAACTCTGTTTTCTTTTGTAACATTTCCCAGGACAAGGAGGTGGCATCTTGAGGAGGGAGCAGGAAATGAGAGGATTTTTATCTAAACCAGCATTTCCCTGCCTTTCTTACAGGTAAATCAGTGGATCACCACGTTTCTGGAGTAACCCACCCAGACCGCCCTGGTTTGAGCCAAAATGAGCAGAGGATTGAATCCCCATCTATCACCTCATCACTCCCATCTCAATTTTGCTCATTCCCAGCTCTCTGATGTCCAGCAGCACTCTGAGCTGGCTGCAGCCCTTGCCCTGGTGCTCCACAACCTGTGTGCCCTGAGAATTGCTGAGAAGTCTTGG